GTCTAAATTCAGTCCGATTCGCTCACTCAGTCTCTTAGTGAATAACGGTGGTGAGATCAATTAAAAAGATCAATCATCCACTTTATCTAAAAAGAATTCATGATCCATAAACATCGTGCTGAAATCAGAACGCATATCCCAACGCACACGCAATCGGTGCCTAACACAACACCCAAATGTCAAATGTTTACTTTAAAACTCAAATGTTACTCCAGCTGTGTACTGAGGACAGACATGTTCCGAAAATACTGAACACCGGTTGCCAGGCTCATCCCGCACTTTTGTAAATATCGAACATCTCATAAATCCGTGGTCCCAGCAAGATATTCATTTCAGTGTGTAAACATGTTTGCTTTGGCCAGACTGATTTTGATACACATGTTGTTGGTGTCCGTCTAACCAACTTCAAATTATCTCGTTTTCTATTAATTTTATCACATTAAATATATACGTATTAGTAGAAATCTGAGAACAATTCACTTTGCTGTTCTCAGCCAACGGTCTTCATCGGGTAAGGAATGCCCCATCAATTTGACCGATTAGTTAGAACACGTTTTTTGTTTCCAGTTTATTTTTATTTCACACATATTTTCTCTCCTCAAGTTGGCTCCTGACTGTTTGTTACTCTACGGCCTAGTTGCCTCCCATATATCGATTTCTGGGTACATTTTGTCATAGTAAATAGCATCCTGATAATTAATCCGGAGCAATCTGCTACTTGCTAAATCAATCAATATACCAAAGGGAGGAAAATCGTACAAAAGCCATTTGAAGCCAACGCCCATTTGGAATACTTTAATCCTTCAAAGATGCACAACTATCAGGGAGGGGGTGGGTTGCAGCCATTAAGGCGTTGCTAGGCGGCACACGTCGAGGGGGACAGTTGGGCGGCAGTGGTGGGATTTGAACACAAGACCCGTGGGGCTATTTGTTGGGATCTTTACCATCAACGTGTGGGAAACGGTCCGCATCTGTTGGAATATTCCAGATGAAAACACATTGGTACGAGCAACCAACAGCAATCCCCTCGATAGAAAGCGCTCGCTACATCTTTCTTTCGAAGGAACGGTTTGCATTTTATCCTTGGATACTGTGCGTTACCTAATCTGACGTTCAGTTAGCCCGACTGATCGTGCTTGGTTTTTTGCACTGAAATCTTCGTTAGTATTCAATGCGATAAATGACGCCCATGGCAGATGGCGAAATATACGAACGTTTGCAGTGTGACCTTCAGTTGCACATTGTAGCAATCAGATGACGTGGGCAAACCCCTTTGTCAGGAGGATGTGCAAATAAGCAGCTCAAGTACTGAATTCAGCCAGAGTTAGACAAAGACCCAGCCAGATAGAAGTGATGCTGAACATTGGAGCTACCTACCACCAGAACGCGTGGTTAGCTACAGCGGAAAAGGTTTGAACACCCACAGTCAAAACAGCCGTCCGGCCCGGCCCAGATAGAAGTGAGTTTGATATGAATGGGAGAGTTTCAATCTAGCTGGAAATGAAATCAAGCAAATCTGGACTCCCTGCCCGATACAGATAATGCGTGTAAATGAAGAGTCTGCCACATGATTCGTGACTCAATGTTTGTGAGCACATAAAAACGACTATAAACATAAGTTAGTAAAAACCTCGTTTCCAGTGTTCCGTGAGCTGGCAAGTCTTAATGAATTGACATAAAACGGACAGTGGCACCATGCATACCGTCTTTAATTGTGGATACACATAATAACAAGGATATAGAGCGGATTTCCGACTTAAACGCATGAAAATTAATGTGAATGGCGTGCGGCAGCCATGTACACAAGATCACCACTGCCAAGGCGTCACTTTGAAATTCAGCACCTCTCTCTAGGCTCCGATCGCTGTCACAAAACAGACAACAGGACAAAAATGGCCGACTATCGCATACACGGTTCGATCAATAGGTTCGTTTCATCAACTGTGTACATTCGCGGACCAATCAAAACCCAACGCGGCAGAAAGACAGACGGGCAGTGCAGATTCTAATTTTAAAAATGCTGAGATTTTCCACTGTGAATAGCACATTCACTTCACATTCCGCATTCTACCATTTAAAGTAGGCCCGCAATGCACGATCTACATTTAGAATTGCATGAGGTCTCGATCGATCAACAATCAGAAAACAGCAGACGAGCAATAAAGACGGACACCTGGAACCGGCGCTGTTGATACCGATAAACAGCACTATTCTGATTAGCGATTGATGAGATCCAGGCACCAGTCAATGCTGGTTGTACGACAAGAAAACCGATTAATAATCTGATCTCTCTTCTTCGCATGTACTCCGATCGGAACGCACTCGGTTCAGGGATTCACTTCATTTATTGACATGGAACAGCAGAGGAACCAATAATTTGAGGTTTTTTCATTCCATGAATATCTGAATCACCTACAAAATGAGGGCATACGTCACCACATCACACCGGAGGTTACGCAATCGAATCCGGTCATTTTCACAGTACACTGATTGGCCGCTTCTTTCGAGAATGCACCCTATCTGTTCAATCGAAGGAAGCAAAAAGGACTAAAATATCCTACGGGTTAGTAGTGGGAACAAGGAACCTAAGGCTTGGGACTGTGAAATGACAGTGAGAAGAATCCAGCCGGAAAATCAGCGTTGTGGGTGCAACGAAGTGAGGATGACTACTAAGAAATTGCCTAATAAAACCGTGACTTCAAAGCTTTTAACGATTATCGAACAAATCCCGAACAACAAGAGGAATGCGACGAAACATCAGGGATAAAAAGTGGGTGATCGAATTTTCGACACTGTTCTCCGCTCACGGTTGTTGTAGCCTACAGCTGAATGCAGTGTTTTCCGTTCGGGCCCATAGCTTTTTGACCGGTCGATGATGCTCGCTACCACACACACACACACACACA